ATGGCCACACTGTGCAACAATGGCAGAGAACCTGTGGCCCTCCAGCAGCTATTGGGCTCCAGCTCTCACCACCCCTGCCCATGGTGCCATGCTGGCTAGGAGCTGCAGTCGCAACAGCTCCTCGAGAGCTGATGGCTGCCTGCCTCTGACCTGCAACCACATGGAAGCCAAAGGGAGCAGTGATGGTGGAGTAGCAATGTCAGGCTTACTGCTTGGGCAGAGGCCGCAGGCTGGTTGTCCATGCCATTTGAGCTGGCACATGGAAAGTTTTTTTAATTAAGCGGCTACCAGCATGTGGAATGGGGCTGTGCATTTCCAGCTTCTCATAGGCCTCGTGCCAATATCAACAACTTCATAGTGTGTCCCAGGAGCAGCAGTTTGGGAGTGGAGTATGCATGCATGCAGTATTTTGAGAGGAATGGTAAAAATATCTTAGGACAATTCATGATTAGGGAAGAGGGGAATATGCCCCCTCCCCCAGTGGTTGCTTCTATGGCATTGTGCCCTGACGAAGCGTCTTTGCAATTACTTGGGCCCTGTTGGGGTGTCTCCTTTCTTCCAGATTGGCCTGCAATCCGCTTTCTAGTGCCAGGCGAAAGACACACTGCAGCCAACTCTCCTGCTTGGCCAAAGGGAGGAAAAGCCTGTCTTGCAGCAGCCCTCCTGCCCCAGGCCAAAATGTAAACCTTTGACGCCCTGGGAAAGGGGAGAGTTACTCTTATGGAAACAGTTCTTGTCATTTCCAATGTGTGATCCAACCTCATCCCTCTTTAACTGGGAGTACAATCCTACACACCCCTTGGAACGTCTTCATTCACCTAACAAATGATTTTAATTTTTTCCCACCAACTCTTCTGCAAAATGTTTAATTTCTCCCTTCCTTTTATAGACATAAAAGTGTAAGGCTGTTGTCATGCTGCAGTTTGTGTGGCTGCCAATAGGGGGCCGCACCAACTCCAGCGCAACAACAGAATAGCAGGCAGGTAAGCAAGCAAGCAAGTGGGGAGGGGAGTAGACTGGCCAAGCAAGCTGCTCACCAGAAGGGGAAGCACTTTGGAGGGGCTGTGGGAATAAGTGAAGGGGGTGGGTGAAGTGTAAAGGGAGTCAAGTATAAATGGAGGAGGGGTTGGCAAAGGGGTAGATAGGTAGGTGGGGCTGGCGAATAGAGGGAGCAGAGGTGTCAACCCCTAGCTTATGATAGCATTGGGACACTTACAAACGATCTCACTTTCAATACGGTCTGTGCCTGCGCATGTTTTGCGACCGGTGCGATACTTCATTTTCAATCAGTGCATGTCCTGTAATTTCCTGCTGGAGCCTTGTAACTTTTTATACCACAGGTGTTTCGGTTTCTTTTTTCCCTCCCACTTTTATTGCGCTGTAACGCAAGAACGCCCCTCCAGACGGCAATAATGTAGTAATACTGAGAAAGCATCGTGGAAGAATTAAGAAAGTGGAACCCAGTCTTAATCCACCTGTAATGCACTCTTGCTGTGTCAGTGACATGTTGCAAAAGACACTCCAATAAAAAACCCAGACTGGAATGTCCCTTGGTGGGTGAATTTTGTTTTTTGTTTAGTTAATTTTTAATTGAGATATTTCAACATAAGATACAGTTAAAGCTGAACTAATCTAAAGAGAGAGAAGAAACAAACCAATAAAATTAAGGAAATGAAGCAAAGAGAGAAAGACAGAGAGACTGTGTATATACCTTGGTTCTCGAACTTAATCCGTTCCGGGAGTTCGTTCAACTCCCGAAACGGTTTGAAAACCAAGGCGCAGCTTCCAATTGGCTGCAGGAGCTTCCTGCACTCAATCGGAAGCTGTGTCAGACATTCGGCTTCTGAAAAACGTTTGCAAACCGCAAACACTTACTTCCAGGTGTTCCCACACACTTCCAGGTGTGCTGCGTTTGGGAGCTGATTTGTTTGGGAACCAAGCTGTTTGAGTACCATGGTAATGCCAAAATCTCTATCACAATTCTATATTAACCCTTATTCCACACACTGAAGAGTGAACCCTCCTAGCTCTCACCTGGGAGCTTCCCCCCTCTTCCCTCAGCCCCATCCCTGAGGGAGCCCCTCTGGCCTGCCACTCATGCAAATTTCTCCATCCTCTGCCCTTCACCTGCCTGTGTGTATCTTCATTTATCCCCAAATATCAATCTTCAAAAACCAAAACATACATGTAAATAGAGTTAACAGAGAGCTAGCGTTAAAAGTCACAGAAAAAGCAAGATTAGGAGAGAAACGGAATTAAAACGTCAGCCTTGCGATTCTCTGTCTGCCAATTATGTACATAACAATTATTCAAAATATTTAAAGTACGCACTCCAGAGGGAGATTCTAGCTGGATTAATAAATGTCCTTAGTGGGCAAATTTGTGTTGGGGTTGTACTTGGGACCGTGCAGACGGTGTGAGGTGTCGCTGCCTCTGTTGTTGTTTAGTCGTTTAGTTGTGTCCGACTCTTCGTGACCCCCTGGACCAGAGCACGCCAGGCACTCCTGTCTTCCACTGCCTCCCGCAGTTTGGTCAAACTCATGCTGGTAGCTTCGAGAACACTATCCAACCATCTCGTCCTCTGTTGTCCCCTTCTCCTTGTGCCCTCCATCTTTCCCAACATCAGGGTCTTTTCCAGGGAGTCTGCCTCTAGCAGTGGCTGCCTCTAGCAGAGCTCTTTTGGTACAGCAGAGTTGGGAACTGGGCAAACCCCAGATCCATGGGGCCACAATCTGTTGGGAACTTCTCCTGCATAAGCACTGTTGACATTAACGGGAGCCGTGCAAGATCTCCTGTTCGTTTCAGTGGATCCCGAGAAGGAAAACTTCCCAGCGGGGCATGCTAAAAATGAATGGCAAGTATGCCCACTGGGAACAACGGGTGCTGTCGGAAGGCCCGTGGCAACAAACATGGCAACTGCAAATGCCCATTGACATGATGGGTCTTGATTAAAATAAAGGCAAGCTTTAAATAAACCAAGGAATTGATCGCTTTCCTGGTGCGTGGTGCGTTGCCATTGCATTTTTCTGCCTCTGGCACCAGAATGTTGTGATCCTGCCCCAATGGGGTGTGTGTATATACATAAAAAAAATTAAGTGTGCAGCAGCATGATAGAGTACGGCTAGGGCAGAGAGGACCCCCCCCTTCTATTCAAAGTCTTCCATAGGAATCAGCTTCCTCCATCTGCTTCCTTGGGGAGGGGGGGAAGGTAGGAGACCTTTTATTTTGTTTTTCATTAATCAGCATTTCCCTTAGTGGTCTGCACTCCATTCTCTCTCCCCCCACCCTTTTCCCGGTGATTTATGGTTCGGCAGGGGCAGCAGGTAGCCAAACCTCCCGACCTCCAACTCATTTGTCTGGAGGGGCTGGGCCACCTGTCACCTCCTGTCAAGGGAGAGCAATAAATGGTCTCCCGTGGTAATTACCCACGGAGGGGAGGGGTGGAGATTGGGTGGTGGTGGTAGCCGGGGCTGGCTGGGCGGCAGAGACCAAGGAGAAACGGCACCCAAGCTTTGGGGTGCAGGAAGAGAGTGTCTGTGTGTGGTGCCGAGACCAGGGTGCGAAGATCTCTGCCCTCTTCTGGATTTCCCTCTCAGATTTGGCCAGAGCTGTGGTTCTGTTGTTCTTCTGCACCCCCTCCCCATTCCACCTGTCCCATCTTGGATGGAATGACAGAATGAAAGGGGTCTTCTTTCTCCTGGTGTGTCTGAGGTGGCCTTGCTTCTGCAGACGTTGTCAGAGGGGAAGTTCTTGTCTGGGCGGAACAGCAGAGTATAGGAGGGCAGGGTAACGTTTGCTCACCGAAAGCTTTCCTCTCAGTGCCAGTTTACAGCACGTTGTCTAACACTTATCTTCCTCAGTCCCATAGAATCCAGTGAGGGTATTGAGGGAGAGTGTGTGGTCATTATTTTGGATCAAGACAGAGGAAAAGCACAGCAGAGCAGAGAGATACCAAAAAGGCAAATCTGATGTATCAACAAAAATAGCAGTGGGGCTTAAGTTAGATTAAACACTCCAGCCCCTTAAATTTTATTTATTTTGCACTTAGCAGCATAAGGGGTGTGTGTATAGGAACATCAGAAGCTATCTTTTACTGAGTCACACCAGTCAATTGCTCAATATTGTCCTCACTGACAGCCTCGTGTGTGTGTGTGTCACCCCAAATATTTCTACAAGTAAGGTAACATAGGGTCTATTTTATAGAATCATAGAGTTTGAAGAGGCTCTGTTATGGTTTGTGCCTCAAGTTCTTTCTATATAGCTATATATATCTATATAAAGTTTTTAGAAACAAATTCACATGTGTTGTCTTAATTAAAATGCATGGATTAACTATGTTTGCCAGACAACATCTGAACCAATGTAGTATCTTAAGAGCAGCTAATCATGAAGGCCGTGTGCCTCCAGGATTGGGGAAGACAGTTGGGAGGGCCTACAGCACTCATGCCCTGCTTGGGGGCTGATGGGCCACTGTGGGGTCAGGATGCTGTCCAAGATGGGTTTTTGGATCAGATACCTTCCAAATCATGATGAACTGCAGCTCCCATCAGTCCCAACCAGCATTACCAGTGGTTAGGCTGGGTGATGGGAGCTTTGGTCCAGCAGATATCTAGAGAGCTCCAGAATCTGATCTACAGGGAAATGCAATTCTAGATACTTAGAATTGCAAGGTTGCCTTGCATTTATCTTTGAAGTAAAGCAAGAATGTGATCCCTAGCTGATGCAAAAAAAAAGGGGGGGTTCTGGGGGACCATTTCTTCATAATTGCCAGAGGTTCCTGCCAGTGTGGCGCAATGGTTAGAATGTTGGACTAGGATCTGGGAGAGCAGGGTTCAAATCCCCACACGGCCATGAAGCTGACCTTAGGCCAGTCACCACCTCTCAGCCTAGCCTACCTCACAAGGTTCTTGTGGAAGAAAAGGTAGTTTGTAAATGTAATAAACACGAACATACATGCAACGCCTGTGCCTTGCTCACTTTTCACCCTTCTGCGTTTACAGCTCCGGCTCTGACTTGGGAGTGGACCTGTTTGCCTTCCCCTACATGCCCGCTTTGGAGGGCCTGACTCAAGAGGGAACTGCAGGAGATCACCTTTGAAGCCTCGGCGCTTGCTCCTTCTTGCCTGAGCAGTCAACCCGCGGACGGAACGTGCTGCGTGCCCCTGCCTGGCCCCTTGGAAAGGGGAGGCTGCATTGACGCCGAATTGAATCGTTGGCGGTCCTGGATGAATAAGGCTTCGATGGCGATTGCTCCCTACTCAGCCCCTATGTGAATCCCTTTGCCCGAGGATCAGGCCTGCGGAGTGTACCAGCCATGGCGAGCAACAGCAGCTCCTGCTCCACGCCGGGGAGCGGGCATCTCAACAGCTACCCAGTCCCACACTATGCATTCTTCTTTCCACACATGATCGGGGGCCTTTCGCCTCCAGGAGCTCTGCCAGGGATGCAACACCAGCTGCCGGTCAGCGGGTACAGCACGCCATCACCAGCCAGTAAGTACCCTACGGTCATGAGTCAGGGGCTGGTGGGCGCAATGTGTGCAATGTGAGAGAGAGATGGATTCACTTGGTGCAAAGGCAACAGGTTTAGAGCAGCGGGGGCCAGTTTTGAAAGCTGCCACGCTGCATTTCGCAGAATGCACCTTTCTTTCCCTGTCTTAGTTTGCTGGGGGTTTTTTGGGGAAAAGCTGGCTCTGTGAGTTTTCTAGGAGGGACAGCTTTAATTTTGGGATGGGGGTGGCGAGGTAAGCTTATGCCACGCTTGCGTCACCAACATGCGCACACATGGGCTGTGCATGCAGAAGGTTCCAGGTTCAATTCGCCAGCATCTCCAGAAAAGATTGACAGGTGTCAGGGTGATGCGAGAAGAGCTCTGCTGTACACTCTGGTGCATTGCTGCCTTTCAGATTAGGCAATACTAGCTTAGATGGGCAAATAGTCTGACTAGTATAAAGCAGTGAAACTTTGCGCTCTCTGGCCTCCAAAGCACTTTTGCTTTTTTTTTTTTTAAATTGTTCATGAATCTGGGGTGACTGCAGTGTGGGGAAGACAACCAAGAGTAGATCTGTAGCGGAAGAAACGTGTGTTTCTTTAAAACTTTTTAAAAAAGAAGCGGATAGCCCACTTGGCATGTTAGGAGAGAGGCAAGGTCAATTCCAGTATTCACCTTACCAGAATGTTGGTCTTCGCAAGGGTAGCTGGTGTGCTACCCTCCAAATGTTGCGGACTACAACTCCCATCGTCCCTGATCATTGGCAATGCTGGCCAGGATTGATGGAAGTTGTAGTTCTCTGTATTTGGAAGGCCAGAAGTCTATAGTGCAGATTACAAAACAGAGCGCGTGCTGTGTCTTATCTTAAACACTTATTTTTACTCTTCGTAGAATGGTCTCTTCTTGGCCATTTCTTTTGGTAGGTTGTAGCGTTCTTCCCCTTCCTCCAGAGACCCCGTGAAGCTGTGTCTTGATGCTGCCAGGCCTCTACTAAATTTGGCATGAAAACATAACGCAAAGTTTTTGAAGCTTGGCGCACTTTCTAGCTTTTGAAAAGACAACGCTTAACATTTTGGAGTTCTAATCTCTCCCCCCCCCACCCACCCACCGCTTTAATGTTTACCTAAAAATCGAGATTATAGCAGTTGAGCTGTTTCAACATTCGGAAATTAAATAACAGCAAACTTTGCCAACTTGTCCATAAAATCCACAGTCATGTGACTTGACACACGCCCAGGCTCTTCCAACACGTTCAGGAATTTTTTATTTTGACTGTGAAGTGTGTTTGATACTCCATTAAGTTTTGAAAACAAGGTTCTTTGGGCTTCTATCCAAGTTTCAGCACCGAGATACAATAATTGATGTATTATATGCATATGAATATTTGGGCAGGCAGCCCTGCTAAACATCTCAACACTCCCATGATTACATATCTATTTATTACATTTTGCACCCCACCTTCCTCCAAGGAATGTGAACCGATGTTGTGAACTGACAACAACCCTTCCAGGTAGGTTAGACTGAGAGTCAGTGACTCGCCAAGTGAGCTTCATAGCTGAGAGGATTTGATCTTGGGTTCCTCCACCTAAACCAGTGCTATAAGACAGTGGTTCCCAATTGGTGGTCCATGGACCCGGGGGGGGGGTCTGCATAACCCACCCAGGGGGCTCTGTGGCACATACCCATCAACTGTATGGGTCATCTCATTTTGGAGACGCTCCAAAATGTGTAAGATCGTGGTGTCCAAAAACGTGCATTTTGGGGCGCCATGGTCTCTTGCGGGTCACATGACTTGCACGGGATGCTTGTCCAAAAGGACCCGCCGTCAACTGTTGCACGACAATTAGACGCTTTCAAGATGGTCCCCCCCCCGAGGAAAACAGGTGAAAGAAAGCCAAAATTGAATTTGTTGTTGTCGTTCTCCACTCTTAGATACTGCTTGCTCCTGGGCTACATATGGAATACTGAAAACCTGCTACCTTTTATATGGTTTTTCTTTTAAAAACAACAACAACAAATTCAAACTACTGCACAAAGATAATCCATACCAAGGCAAGCTCAATTCTGAGACCAGTAAATATTGTGCTTGATAAGAAACTCTCTCCCCCCCCACCAATATTCACTTTCTGGTTGCAGAACTCATACTGTTGAGAGTCATGGAGACAGTAAAAGACATGCAGACTTGGAAGCCCTCTTTCCTGACTCCTGGAAATATTGCTCAGGGATGCATTCATCCTGTCTCCAGTGCCTTAAATTTCAAGTGGCATTGTTTCTGTCTCCTATCTTCTGAAGCCCTTAAAACTTAACGCTGAATTTCTTGGGAGACGTTGGCTGCTCCTCTCAATACCACGCCTCTCACCTGTGCAGTAAAATTATGGAATACACCTCAGAAAAGGGGTGCAGAGCAGGCTTGAGCTCTCCTAGATGGGCTTTGTGGGGTGATAGTGTTGTCAGCCCCACCCCGGGACAACCAGGCGAAACGCGCTTGCTTTCTATGTCCTCGCAATTGACTGCACCATCTTGCTTGCTGTATGTTAAGACACAGTGCTCTGCTGCGGAAGGAGGCGTTGGGGGTGAGCGGAGCTAAAGTGTGGAGGGAGATGGAGATGGAAATGAGGTCGAGAGTGAAGTCTTGAACTTCAGATTCGTTTACTATTCTATAATATTAACGAAAGGTGTCTTTTTCAATCTATTTTTTTTAATAAAAAAAGATCCCTTTAAAATTTAGCTTTTCGTTTCACGTTGGTTCTGTGCTCTTGCGCCCAATTCAAGGCTGACAACTTAATCCTCAAATCGCTATCCTTGAACACGGAAAACTCAAGTCAGCCCTACAAAAACGTCGGAGCTGTGAAAATATTTCTGCTCTCTGCGTAATTGCTTCCTTCTGTCTGATTGCTGTTTTTCCTTGTCTTGTTTCCCACCCACCCCCCAACTTGTCCCTATAACCATCAGAACTAGAAACTTAGATCTCATGCAAGTGTCATGGGAATTATATATATTGTGTGCCCCTGAGCTCTACACCTGTTTTTCTTAACATGGCCGAACGCCCAGTAGACTAGCACCTCCCTCTCCCTCCCTCCAATCCAAATAGGAGGTAATAGATTTCTTTGGGGTCCTGCCATGAAGACTTGTGAATAACTGAGCTTTGAGGTATCCTTGCGCGCAGCATGTCGGTTGAAAACTACTAACAAAACATCTCTTCAGTATGATGGTGCACCCACTGAACCTCCCCACCCACCCCTTCCAGCCCCCCAGATTTTGGCACATGCTGCATCTCTCTCAATATAACTGGTGATGCAACTTGGGAGAAGCTGTAGAGCCGGAGGGCAAGGAACATCGTTTTGCAACTAGGCAGGAAATTTAAAAAAACAGGAGTTGAGTGAGCTGATTTGCTTTGCCAGCAAATCAAGAGGCAATGAAGGAGCCCCCCAGTCTTTATATGCTTTGAGGCAGCTCCTGAGCTCTTCTCTTGACTCTTGCATCCCCTTCCATATTTTTTCTAACAAATGTTGTGTGGTTCAAACAAGGCAGTGGTTCCCTAGAATTCCTTTGATTGGGGAATCGCTACTCTTAGCATCTTGGATGAAGAAAACGCTTCTAATCCAAAACGTTTCTGAAGAAGAAAAGTGTGGATATTTAGCCAATAACTGAAGCCATTTTTGTTTGTGTTTTGGAGGGGTGGGGTTTAGTGCTCCACAAGGTTCTCTGAAATTTTCTGTGATCCTTCCAAGTCCTTGGACCCATTTTCTTGTACATTTGTTGCTCCCAAACTCATTTTTAGTATTAGTAAACTAAAAAAAGTATTATACAGCACGAGGCTTTATGTTGTTTCTTGTTCATCCTCATAGCAAACCTGTGAATGGCAGGAGACAGTGGTGGTTCCAATTTACAGATGGAGAAAGATTATGTGCCCAGTGCCACTGCAGGTTTATAGGAGAGGCTGATGTTTGTGTCCCCAACAATCCATTTTTCAGTCTAAGGCAGGGGTCTGCAACCTTTAAGACAAAAAGAGCCACTTGGACCGAAGAAAAAAAACCTGGGAGCCGCAAAACCATTGTGACATTTAAAACAGTGGGGAGTGTCGGGGGGAGTGTCGGGGCACACAATGCGCCTCCTCCCCTCGCTAGTATCCGCCCCGGAGCCGCGGCAAAGGTGTAACACGGGTTGCTGACCCCTGGTCTAAGGGTATATACAGGGAGGTTGTGAATAACCTTAGCTACAAAACACTGCAGATTTTGCAGGAAGGAAAGCAGAATCTTGAAACCTGTAAACTTTATAAGTTTTTTTTATTTGCTTACTTTAAATACTCTCCGCTACTCATTATGGGATGGAGCAAGGAACTACGGTATGTGGGATATTGAATTTCAAATTCCTGATGCATGGAAATCTTGCTCAGCCGTCCCCCCCCCCCAAAAAAAACCCCACACGTGTTACCAGGCATCACCTACACCTTTCCAAGCTTATCTTTGCAGTCTTAAGGACTAGAAACATCTATTTTTAAAAAGAAAAAGCTGTCGTCATTAGGAGTGAAACTTCATGTTTTTGCAGACACTAGGCTTTAAAAAAACCCAACCACAACTTTCTAAGCAGTATAAAGTTCAAGGCAAGCTTTGTATGGTTGATTTCCTCTGGAGGGGAGCCAGGATGTACTGTGAGCACGTTTGGTGTTCTTGTAAAAATGTTGATTGCAGGCTCCGAAGGAATCTTAAGGATGTACCCAATGCAGAATTGTTGCAAGCCAAGCATCCTACAATCTCAGAGCAAACTTCGCTTGTTTCTTTCAAGCTCTGCAAGCCAGTTGTCCTTATTTTTAAATACTACTATTTTAATCAATATTTTAAGTATGTATTTATTTAAAGCACTTTAAATACTGCCATTAAATTATAAATTTCCAGGGAGGTTTATAATAGATCTTCTAAGACACAATAGAACATCAATCAATATACCGTCCATCAACAGTAAAACAGTGTCAGCAAAATAAGAGATTCATCAAAGGTTGACAGCAGGGGGGAGTGAAATGGTCTTTCCTGTATCTAGCTTGAGCTTTGTTTACATTGGCAGGAGTCTTCCCCAGCCCTAGCCAGGGGTGCTACGGATTAAACCCTTGTATCTTTTGCAAGCAACTGCAAGCAACTGCAGTCGCTGCAACCTGCTGCCTTAAAGACATTAAAGACTAGAAGCCAGCTGAACATTCCTAGGGGGACAGTTCAATAAGGGGTCCCACTGCAACTGCAAAATCCCTCTTCCCCCACTGCTCTCCACCTCAATTGAGACAGCCGAGGTACCTGGAGGAGGACCTCTCAGGAACAACTTGGTGTCTGCGCAGCTTATTCCATATGGCTAGACAGGACATATTGCAAGGGTATTTTAGCATCCTTGTAGAAATTAGCCTCCTTCTTTGCTGACTCTTAAGGCCAGCCAATATTCTGCTTGCAATATGGGAATGACGCTTCCCTTCCTTTATAAGGTTGCTGCAAGGATTTACTGACTAACTAACTCAGTTGACGTGTTTTGAACATTTAAATTACTATATATAAATGGTAAGAATTCAGTTGTGGTGTTGGTGTGTGTTTGGAGCGTACTGTCTGCTTTGGAGACTGAGGCTTATATATTGCAGTGATCCTGGGCATGTATAAGAAAACTCTGCATGTCTTCTGCATGCAAACCCACCCATCTTGTGCATACCCCTTTGTGGCATCCCCAGTAGGGGGGTTAGGGGTTTTTTGCTCCTAACACAGTTTTCACCCCAAAGCTCTGTGCTTTTACTCTTCCCCAGTGGGTCATTCATGTTTGTTGGAGGAAAAGATAAAAGGGTGCGCTTGGGGACATTGCGGGGGTGGGAGGCTACATATTCCTTGTGAACCCCACCAGGAAGAATAAAAGGAGACATCCAGTGTTAATCGTGCTTATTGTAGGGGCACATCAGCATCTCTATGCTGAATAGTAGAAGCCAACAGCTTTTGCCCCTAGAAATCTGCATTTTTCCAGAGGAGCACAGGCCCCCTTCATTTTAGAGCTAGGAAGGGAAGTGGGTTTTGGCATATGTCTTGCTTACGGATTTTTTTTGGGGGGTCCTTTATTAACTGCATCCATGGCAGCAAGTGGTACAGCATTAAAACTGCCAACACATTCGCAAAGCTAAGCAGGGTCCGGTATGGTTTCAAATTGGATGGGGAACCTCGTGTTGAGATTCCCGCATTGCAGGGGGGGACTAGATGACCCTCTGGATCCCTTCCAACGCTACAGTTCTATGAAGAAGCTGTATCTCTTGCTGATCGTTTATTTTCTCTCCCCTTCCTGTTGGTGTTGGGTTGGTGTTGGCGTTGTGTTTTGCTATGCCCTGTGGGGTCAGAGGCTCAAATGGCATATCTCCCTGTTCTACAGGATGGGAAGCATGGAGGAGCCTGTATTTTGGATAACCTTGGAAGAATAGCTTGAATAGAATCCATCCCTCCTCCTCCTCCTCCTCCTCCTCCTCTTCTCCTCCTCCTCATCCCCCTCCTCCCCCACCTCCTTTTTAACATTTCTCTTTGATTCACTCTTATTTTTCTCTATCCACTCCCCTCTCCACTTTCCAGGCAAGAGAGCCCTTTTTATAAATAACTTGAATAACAGGAAACAAAGGTTTAAAAGGAATAAACAAACCTCTTGACATATGCTGAGGCCAAGGAGGCGCAGTTTGGGAGGGGGTGTTTGGTGGGGGCTGCATAGTTCAAGTGAGAGCCTGTGTTGATCACTCACCTCTGTTGCCCTCTGTTTGAGGGTCAAGATCCTTTGGTTCTGTTTCAGCAATCTGCGTGTAGCGTTGGGGAAGGCGAGTAGGATAAGGAGCTGGGACTCCTAGGTTTCACTTATCCTCATCCATGGGTGCTTTTTCTGTTTTAAATGTTGAATTTTAGTCTGTCCAGTTTACGGATGGAGTAAAATTTCAGGTCTGCTCGGCGAGGTATGGGACCAAGAAAATTAGCGTGTTTGTGTTTTTGTGTATGTTTAAAAACTCAGCTTTTGGTTAAGTGTTTCATTTCAAGCACAAGTGCAATTGAAAAATAAACAAAGGCACTGACAAAATAGCCTTGATGACAGTAATAGAGTTTAAAACGTTGAAACTAAAAGCAAAATAATCGTCAGGACAACATCCATGTCAAACCGTATACATTAAAGCAAACTTTAGACCCAGATTGATTTAGTTAACGGAACAGCAAGCACACGGAGCGAGAAGGCCAAATCTCAAAATTGGTTAAAGTGCTTTATCAAAAAAAAAACAACAAAAAACAAAAAAAACCCTGCTAAATGCAGGTCGTTCTCTGCTTTCCAGGTTGCTACCTATAAAGACCTCTGGCATGGTCAATAAAGAGGTGAATTCACATTCCGTTTTTTAAGTGCATCCCTACGATATTTAAGCATGCACTTGAAAACGTAAAGTGTGACTGTCAAGTGTGGATAAATGTGGGTTTTCAAAACCTCATGTTTTATGTGCATTCTGTTCTTGAGGAAATGCAGCCAGCACTTAAATCCCTGTAATCGAATCTAGAATTTGGGTTTCTATTCGTTCTGTGGGAAATGCTACATTCTTCAAACCTCATCCACACACGTCTGCTTGCCCTGCCTCTTGATGTTTGCTCTGATTTAGCAAGAAGGAACGGGTTTTCCAGAGAGGGAGGGTGGCAGGGCAAAGGCAAAACCGCTCGGGCGGATGGCTAGAAAGCAGGGGGCAAGCGGAAGGATGCCCTGACCCTGCTTTCTAGGCACAGGAGAAGCGGAAAGAGCCATTTCTTGGTCACAGCTGATACTTACACCCGTTTGGTCTGGTGCGAGGTATGGAAGCTAGTCCCTTCTCAGTTCTCTTGCCTGTCTGCTTCCCTCTAGCCCACCTTAGTTTGGACTATATAGCAGAAGCTGCAGACCTACCAAGCAGCTTCTAGGACGGCATCCCAGGGAGAGCCATGTTCAATGAATGAGGAGGCCCAGAGTGGGTGGATGTGAAATATATTGGCTGATGTGGGTACCCCTAAGTTGGACTGCCTGGGACTTGCGCCATTGGATCTGGGACTCCTGCTGATTCCCAGGGGTTATTCCGTCCTGTGTGCAGCCAGACGCCTTGAGAACATGAGCTTCTGCATGTTCTAGGGCTTGGCACTGAACTTTGATGTATCCTGGCTGTGGTTGATTTTGAGAGGGATTTTTTTACAAAGGGATAGTGCCTCAATTTGCATATTCTCCTTAGAACACATTGAATAGAATTCATGAAGTGCTGGTTCTCAAGTACAATGTGCAACAGGCAAGGGCTCAGATTCTGGAGGACTGTTGAAGCAGCATTAGCCTGTAAGCACCAAATAGCCTCAGGAATTCAGTGCATAACTTTGGGGAAACAGTTCTTAAATTAAGTCCAGTGTGCTGCAGAAGGCCACGATTCACATGCTTCCTAGCTGCTCCCTTTCACCCCGCAAATGCCATTAGACTCCCCCCCCTCCCAGCCTGGAATCTCAGGTCAGGGAATTCTCTCTGAATCCTGGCTCCCTGCCCTTCTCTCCACCTACTTGCCTGCTCTGTCTAGCACATTCTTAGCATTTGCTCAGTGGGGCAAAGTTCACCCACCTCAGCTTTCCCAGAGCTGACAAGACTGGTTCCTTTTGCCTCAAGGCTCCAAGTTGCGCTGGCATGGTGCCCACTTCTTATGGGGCCCAAGATGTACTTGGGGGTGTTTTCGCATGTGCAGTTTCACAACCCAGAGGTTGCACAAATTAACATCTTTTGCCCTGGAAATAGCAATGACTGGTTTAACTAGGTGACATGAAGACACTTTGCACGTGCTCAGAGGCTCTGCTTTCCATCTCCATCCCCATCATCACTGAGATCCAGCTCCAAGGGTCTTCTGGCAGTTCCCTCATTGCAAGTACAGTAGTACCTCTGTAACCCTCTGGTTACGTAAACTTCAGGATGCGAAAGCGGCAAACCCGTAAGTATTTGACCGGGTTTCACTGCATGTGCATGCACAAAAGCGGTCCTCAGGTTGTGGAAACCTCTGGATCCAACCGGACCTCCGGAACGGATTCCGTCCGCAACCGGTGGTACCACTGTAGTGAACGAGGCAGAGGGCCTTCTCGGTAGTGGCACCTACCGTGTGGAACGCCTTCCCTTAAAATGTTGAGTTAAGTAACTATACAACATTTAGAAGACAACTGAAGGCAGTCCTGTATAGGGAAGCTTTTAGTGTTTAATGCATTATTATGTTTTTATATATGCTGGAAGCCATCCAGAATGGCTGAGGCAACCTAGTCAGATGGACAGGGTACAAATAATCAAACTGTTGTTGTTGTTTCCAGTGGCGTAGCGTGGGGGGTGCAGGGGGGACCTGCCGCACCGGGCGCAACATCTGGGGTTAGGGCAAATCCACAGGTTAGGGGGCGCAAATCCACGGGTTAGGGGGCGCAAATTACTTGCCTTGCCCCGGGTGCTGACAACCCACGCTACGCCACTGGTTGTTTCAGAGCCTTGACGTTAAAAATTGGGTTGCAGGTGGTCTTTATAGCTGCTTCTGCTGCTTCTTCTTCTTCTCCTTCTTCTTCTTCTCTTCACTTCCTCCCTCCCTTCCTCCAACAGGTGTGCATTTGAGTTTTGAGGAGCCCTGAATTTCTATACCACTTCCTCTCATGTCTTCTTCCACAGACTCACTGGTGGAGTCATGAGGCGCTGTCAGTTCAAACCTCAATAGAAACCAGGGCTTCCTCCCAGAACCTCTTTTGGATGCCGATGCCCACCTTTAAATGGATGAAGTAACAGTTTAGAAAGCAGGATAGGATCGGGTGCAGTAGAATGTCAGTTAAAAAAATGTCCCTTTCCTCATTTAGGTCATGTCCCCAATAGTTGGGCACCTGAGCAGGGCCAACCCAAAATATTTTTCCACCTGAGGGTGAAGGGCAAGATGTGTCCTCCTGCTCCCAACCCATGCACAGAAGCTGCCAATCTGGACCTTTCATGAGCACTGGGGACTGGGCAGCATCTTCCAGGGAAATAGCTGGGGGGGACATCTGCCACTGCTCCCCCCCCGCAAAAACCCCCCAGCATCTGTTGCTTGAGGTAGCTGCCCTGCTTCCTAATAGTAAGCAGGAAATCCTAGTGAGACCTAGGTAAAGGGACCCCTGACCATTAGGTCCAGTCGTGATCGACTCTGGGGTTGCAGCGCTCATCTCGCTTTATTGGCCGAGGGAGCCGACGTACAGCTTCCGGGTCACGTGGCCAGCATGACTAAGCCGCTTCTGGCGAACCAGAGCAGTGCACAGAAATGCCATTTACCTTCCCGCCGGAGCGGTACCTATTTATCTATTTGCACTTTGATGTGCTTTTGAACTGCTAGGTTGGCAGGAGCAGGGACCGAGCAACGGGAGCTCACCCCGTCACGGGGATTCGAACCGCCGACCTTCTGATCGGCAAGTCCTAGGCTCTGTGGTTTAACCCACAGCGCCACCCTCGTCCCTTAAGGTGAGGCCTACCCCCACCCTTTATCAGGCGCACCTAGGCCTCTCCTGCCTAATGGTGAGGGATGCAAATCCAAACACTGCTCATGCCGCAATAAAGTATTTCGTTTGTTTACATCTCTTCCCATCCTGTTAATGTCCCCCCACCTCCAAATCATTCTTGGAATCTGGAATCGGCCTGTTTTACAAAACAGTCTTCACACACACACAATTTTACACACAAAAATTGTGTAAACTCCCTTCCATCTAAGGGAGCTGCTGCATTCTGTGTCACATTGGAAGTAGCTTTTCCTAACTTGTGTTTATGGCTTGCCATGGAAGAAGGTGTTTGGGTTTTTTTTATTAGTGGGGTGGAAGATAGTAGGGGAAAGTATATGTAATTTCAGTGCAACACCTGATGCAGGCCTTGCGCCCCCCCCCTTTGCCCGTTCCAAACTGCCTTTATTTGATAATTGCAGTGTTTATGCCTCTGCCACATTAACAGCCCGGCTGGATCCAGTTAATACGGATGTAGTGAAGTAGGCCTTGTTTTAATTAACAGCAAATAAGGCACAATAGCAGGTAGGGGTGGTGGTTGCGGGGGGGGGGAGGAAAAAGTCTGGTTTAGCTGGGTGTGGTCACTGGCAGCTAGCAAGCTGTGAGACAGTGGGGCATGGAGGAAGAGGTTTATCACTTCTGGTAAGCAGAGGAGGAAGTCCTTGCAGGACTCCAGCCGGGGCAAAGCAGTTGGCAACCTCACAACAAGCACAAGGGCGAAATGTGGTTGGGTAAATGAAGCGGGAGCTTTCCACCCTGTTTTGCAGACTTGGTTTTGTGTAATTTTCATCATTGGCTGCATGAAAGAATGGAAGATAGAACGTACTGTGCCCTGCCCATTTTAGTAACCAAATTGCAGCAGCCCCCTTCCCCAAACTTCTGCCTCAGGACTTGCATAACGAGTGGCGAGGATGTTCTGCCACTGGACTGGGCTCGCATTATCCATTTAACATGGATAAGAAAATAGGGCTTTCTCCACCCACCCACCCTGTTTTGTCCAAAAGGCCAGCACCGCTAAGAATTGGCAAAGAAGCGCTGGGTTTAAAGGAGGAATTTCTAGTTTTGGGAGTAGTTCAGCAATGGAAGAGGCTGATCCTTTCCCTCAGAAACAATAGGTTTTTGTTATAGGGCATTGGTTTTTAGGGGAAGGGGATGAGGCCCCTTTCTATCCCAGGACTTCTGTTTGATTTCCTAGGTTCTGTCCTCTTACTTTGAGGCCAGGGTACTGGGAGGAGTCTGATGGTTAGTGCAAGTTACAGGTAGGTAGCTGCGTTGGTCTGCCGTAGTCGAAACAAAATAAAATAAATAAAATTAAATTAAAAAATTCCTTCCAGTAGCACCTTAGAGACCAACTAAGTTAGTTATTGGTATGAGCTTTCGTGTGCATGCACACTTCTTCAAATAGGACAGTGCTGGGCACTTTCTGTGTTGAGGTCCAAGAAAGCTGGACTTTCAGATAAGGGCGAGTGTGTGTGGAATAAATGGGAACCAACACTTATAGAGTTTTGAGGTGGAAGAGGATGGAGACTAGAGGCTGGTGCCTTTGAGAAGGGACAGTAGGATCCCAGAGCTTGTGCCTATAGGCCTCTGCTGGAATCTGGACCTGGTAGTATCTCTTTCTCTTAAAAAACAACAACAGAAGGGAACCCTCTCTTGCTCTAACTGCTTTGGGTCCTGATGCAGCACGTGTGTGCACAGAAATGCGCCCCCCCCCCGCTCTCATAAATTGCCATGTCTAGTTCCCCAGGCCCCCCTCTCTTCCCCTCCCCCGCCCCCAAATTCCCTTACATACACTCCCTCTGCTTCTACCAAATTTGGCCTTTGATGCAAACTTCTGGGGTCATGGCTTGAACCATAGAGCTGATTAAAAGCACATGGGCTTTATGATGTCTCCTCTCCCACCTCACAAAAATTCCTCAGAGTGATTTCTTCCTCCTCCTCCGCATTGTGATTAGCCCGATGCTGTTTTCACCAAAGCACCCCTTTCTTCCACCCGCCACCCACCCCCCTGCCGCCGCCGCCCATATTAAAGTCTCCTTCATGACCCAGAGCTATGCATTGGTTCTCTCCCTCTCCACCCCCCCACCCCAACACTTCACCAGTGGGGGACCTCCTTGCATTCTGTTACTTGATATATTTTTCTGCTGGGTCCTCTTTCCCCCTCTACGCCCCCCCCCACTCCATGAGGGCAAAGAAAAACTTCCAAGCAGTATGGAGACACTGGATAAATTCTAAGAAGGAGCGCTGCACCTCCTGCCTGTTTTGAAAGCCTTGCACCCTTTCCCATGGCTATGCAGTGGGTGGGAGGGAGGCCCTCTGCCCATGCTCAAATTGCTTCAAATGTAAATTTGAACCCTGCCCCCAAATTCAGGCAAGCAAAAAGCCATTTTTCATAGGAAGGTGATTGGGCCTCCCTTCATTTCCTTATTAAATGAGTGGAAATAAGGTCCAGGGTCGGGACCGTGATGAAGGTCCAGCAAAAACAAAAGAGAGATGCCAGAGAAACACACAACAGAAGAATTAAAGAAGATGGGAGGGGTGGGTGGAGAAGCTTTTTAAAAAAAGCAACATAGAAATCTGGCATCTAGCAATCCAACCGAGTTTTGGACTGAAAGTCTTTGGGAATTAGCAAAACCCAGAAGAGGTATAAGCAATATGTGGGCTTTTTATTTTATTAATATATTTTTTTTAAAAAAAAGCTTATATAAGAGGCCAGTCATTACACAGCACTTTAATACGTACAAACATGTGGGACATGACATGCTATCTGTGAGCGTATGTCAGTGGAATGGATTGCATGTAAAGGAAAAGAAAGGTGGTTTCTCAGTTGCTTTAAAACAGGTGTTGCCAATCTTTCTGGAGTGTATCGGGTATTAGGGGATGGGTATTACCTCTGGTGGGGGACATGCTGTGCTCCTTCTGGTCCCCACCCTACACTGAGTTCTCATCTGTGACCCCTAGAAGATATCACCATGCAACAATGACCAGGTGAGGGTAGTAGACGATGGTTCTCAAACCCTTGGTGAGTTGGGACTTGCCCCTTCATTCAAAGGTAGACTCCGGCGGATTGAGCAGACGAGACCAATAGTGGGTCCAACGGTCAAGAAGGCGGTTTATGTACATGCTGTAGAGGGAAGTGAGGGGCAGATGGGGCTTGTCCTCCTGGGGGGGGGAGGAAAACTCTCATCCTAAACCTCCGCTGCCTTGTGGCTATACTCATTCGTGAGAAAGGCTTCGTGAGTAAACATCTTTGGGACGTCTTTGGGAGAGCAAACCCTGCACAAATCAAGAGTGGAATCGTTTGTACTCCTCCTTCCTGCAACTCCTGCAGCCAAGCTGGTGCCAAACATACCACTCTGCTTTCCTTTTGGACATTTTCAAGGGAGAAAAAGGTAACCATCTTCACACATACCTGCCACGACAAGGTGTGGGGTGGACTCCGAATTTTCACGGGTGCCAGAGGAAGACCTCAGAGGCAGTGTGATGCCCATGGGTGCTCTTTTGACTCAGACCTCATTGTCACAAACTTCAGATGGAGTGGTAGATCTGTTCCTTAATTGTAACAGGCAGTAATTAATTGTGCAGTAGGATGTTCTCCATACAAAACCATTCCCTATGCCTATAAAAGTGAGCTGGAACCCTTTTCCTGACACCATAGTTTCCTATGCACAAGGTTTTGCTTTGTGTGTGTTTGTATTTAGGAACATTCAACCATGCAAGCCTGCTTACCTGCAGTCTGCAATGCCACAGTCCAGAAATGGGGTTATTTTTGAGGGAGGTTCTGCCTCCCTTTATTTCCAGACAGGAGGGCTGGGCATAGAAAAGGCACTTTATTGTTGCTTCATATGTTCTGGGCCAGCCCCCCCCCCCCGCTAAAAAAAAGCCCTTATACTGTCTGCATATTACCTCAGCTTTTGTTGGTGTGTGCTATGCAGCAGAATATATGTGTGCCATCAAATATGTAGGGAAATGCCAGGTAAAGGAGCCCTGGGGTCGTGTTTTTTGGCCCTGTAGCTTTCAACCACAAGACCTTTGCATAGAGAGGCATTTAAATCAAAGTTATTAAAATGGTCTGGTCGGGTTCTTTTTCTCTCTAAAGAACTGTAATGGATTGTTGTTTTTTAATCTCATCCTTCCTCCAAGGAGCTCAGAAAGGTGGCATGGGTGTTTCTTGTCCCCTGCCCCTCATATCCTCACAACATCCCTGTGAGATTTAGAGAGGTTTGGGGAATTAGAGTACGTTAAGCTGTGAGGTAAACTGAGAGAGACTAGCCCAAGGTCACCTCATGATCTTCTTGACTGAGTGGGGATTTGTGCCTGGTCTCCTCCAGCCTAGCCAGACATGTTTTTCTGGTGGTGTTCTTCACTTGGTGGGGTCTGTGCCACGATTGCTTGCTTGACAGCTGACATGGGTCTTTCTCCCTGAGACCCACTTTTTCATGTTGTGACTTAAGGGTTTCTACCACTTTGAGGATGGACCGGAAGCGGGCAAGGCCTGAATGCTCAGGGCCATTTCACACATTATGTGCAAATACTGTGTAGAGTGCACAGCGCACATTTAACAGCAAGCCTCACCCTGCCCTGTTGTCTTTCAGAAATATGCATGTTTTCAAATAACTATACCAGGGGTCAGCAACCCTTTTCAGCCGTGGGCCAGTCCACCGTCCCTCAGACCATGTGGTGGGCCAAACTATATTTTGAAAAAATAATAATGAATGAATTCCTATGCCTCACAAATAACCCAGAGATGCATTTTAAATGAAAGCACACATTTTACTCATGTAAAAACATGCTGATTCCCGGACTGTCTGCGGTCCGAATGGAGAAGGCGATTGGGCCTCATCCAGCCCCTGGGCCTCAGTTTGCCTACCCCTGAACTGTACAAAGCTGCTGAAAACTTCACCCCACAAACACCCTTTTCCTCTCTTCATACTTCACAAACATATATACACGCTTAAAACAAATGCTAGCTATCCATATAGAAACCATAACGTATGAAAAGTCTCTCAGTGTGCTGTCGAGATTTGATTGTGGGAAACCGAGGGTTAAAATTGATCTGGCTAGTTACTCCTGTGGGTGAGGCCTGGCCACAGTTTTCCATACCTGTAAAATGGGAATCGTCCCAGAATTCCTAACAGGAAAAGCAAGAAGTTTCTAGCACCTTAAAGGCTGGCTTAGCTATTGTGGCATGAATCAGATGCATTACACGACTGCTGTGAGACGGGCAAAAAAAAGATTTATTAAAGTATTTTGCACAATTTAAAGGCTTCTAATAAGTGATACTGATGCATACAAACGACGGTGTATGTTTTGAATTCGGAGCTCAGTTTATTGCCTGCATCCTCCCCCCAAAGTTCTGAGGAAGTATTACAGTTTCTGTTTAAAAATAATATCACTAAATTTCATGAGATATAGGCAGTAGCCTCACACCTGTGGAACTCTATTCCAGTTGAAATACACAAAGCCCCATTACCGCAGGCCTTTAATGGGGCTCTAAAGACCCATTACTTACTTACCTTACTGCTTTCTCTTAAATGAGGATTTAAATTACATTGTTGTAGTGTATAATTATTTGTCTGCTTTTCTTATTTTCAGTGGGCTGAATGTTGTTGCTTTCTGCCCCCCCCCCATTGTTTTCTTACGGTGTTATGTTTGTAAATGTTGTTATTGATTTTCTACTGGGGATTTATATGTTGGAAGATGTCTTGGGGGGGGTGCTAACCCTAAAAGGTGGTAAAAAATATTTCTTAATAAAATCCCCTCCCCATCTTTTCTCCTTTTTTTGCCCTGTGCTGGCAATTGAGATGGAGGAGGAAAATCCACACAGACTGTTTTCTCCCTTCCCATTGTTGCTTCCCTTATTTAAATTGAAAGATTAGTTTGGCGGGGTGTCTTGAGGGGGGGCCGGTTAGGGGGAAAGAAGAAGAAATAATGCCACTGAGCCTTGTGTGTGTGAAGGAGGGGGAGACCCCCAAGACCTTAATTATGCCTTTAAATCAATGTGTAAAATAAATTTAGCCTAGAGCGAGTAATGCTGGGATGATAAAACTCTTTGATAAAAACTCCACGCTCTGCACAAATGACAGAGATGGACAAAATAGCACACGCTCACACCACCACCACCCCAAATAAATAAGTAAATAAAAATGCGGTGCTCTTTTGCCTTCACTGCTCCCCTCCCTCCCTCCACGATGCCCCAGGACTTTGGTGGTTATTAATGGTGTCTTTTGTTCAACCTATGGTGTTCCCCCCTCACTTAGCACCACTCCCCCCCCACCCCCATTCCAGCGTCTGCTTGCCTCTGGGCCCCTGGAAGCCGCCCGATCGGTAAAAAGTGATAAATACAATAATCTTGTCTGCTTCTGATTAAATTTATTCCTGACAGCATCGTTTATCACGAGAGGCCGGGATAATCACAAACATGCTGCGAAGGGTCTGCAAAGTGTGTGTGTGTGTGTGTGTGTGTGTGTAGGGCAGAGGATGGGGGCGGGGGGGGGGTTGGCAGACTGGCTTTACTGGGGGTATGGTGGGGGTAGAGCAAATGAGAGTGGGAATTGGGGTGAGTAAGATCTGGCAGGGCATTCCGTGCCCTCCAGTGCAGTGGAGACGTGGGCGAAATTGGGTGAAATTAAGAGTCAGTGGGGCAATTGCTGCCAAGTGGAAGAGAGCAAGGGACTTGGGTTGTTAAGTTCCTTAGCTATATGGCTGCCCCTTCCGGATGAGGGCTGGTTTGGAGCTCACATGTACAGTGGTTACAGACGCTTCAGGTTACAGACTCCGCTAACCCAGAAATAGTACCTCAGGTTAATAACTTAGCTTCAGGATGAGAACAGAAATCGCATGGCGGCAGCGCAGTGGCAGCAGGAGGCCCCATTAGCTAAAGTGGTACCTCAGGTTAAGAACAGTTTCAGGTTAAGAACGGACCTCCGGAACAAATTAAATTCTTAACCCGAGGTACCACTGTATTTTCTGTATGCATACCTGTGTTGGCGATGGAAAGGGGAACCCACATCTCCAAACACTCAGGAGCATGTGCCAATGACCTGGAGTTGTTTTGTGGCTCTGTGTTGTGTGTGTGTCCCCCTCCCCAACTGCTTGGCTGTGCCCATTTCTTTGCTTCATGCAAACCCCCTTGTCTTGTCAAGTGTAAATTGGCCATTTGGAGACGGGGAAGATAAAAGATCCCTCCCCTCTGCCATCCCAGCACTCTCACACAGCGAAAAGAAAAAAAGAAATCTCCTTTCTCCTCAACCCCCTGCTGGTATCTGTGTGCCACAGAGAGCAGATGTGCTGCTGCACAAAGGTGCCTGCAGAGCAAATAGCTCCAGGGCAAAGGAGAAATGATGGCGGCAGGCCTGCCCCTTTAAATGTGGGCCTGCCCCTTATAGGTATAAAGCGGTAGGGTGTGGGTGTGTATGTAGGGACGAGGACGACAACAACAACAACAACAACAGGACACCACTGCTGTAACTAACCATAACTGCACCCGGTGTGCAGCATAAATTGCTCACTCTTTGTATAAACTATAAACAAGAAAAAATAAATAAAAGAAATTTGCAATATACAGTCTTGTTTTTATTTTATTTTATTGGCAATCATAAACATGCATGAACTCTTAAAATGCATATCGTGCACAATGGAAATCATAACTTTGGTTTTACGTCAATAGCAGCAATCTTCTGCTGGTGTTAAGACACCAGTGGGACACCCTAATATAGCAAGCGAGAGAGAGAGAGAAGAGGCACTGAACATGGCCCTCCTCGCAGCACCCTCCTCCTCCTTCTGATGTTAGAACTTGGCTGAAGGAAGAGCATCTAGAATGAGAGCCAGGAAGTTATGGACACAGAATTAGCACACCCGTTTTTCTCTTTAAATTGGGGTATCCTCTTCTTACGTGACGGGGTAGACATGCGTTTAAATGAGATGGGTCTGCCGCCATAATGTTTGGCAGCCCCATCTCATTTAGTCTGGCCTCCAGCTAACCCGAGCAAGTGAGCCAAGCTGTGTTTGGTGGGCGAGGGAGAAAGATTTGCTCCTCTCCTTCAATAGAACACTGAACTGGATCACTCAGGGATGCTGATTTGTCAGTAGATTCCTTCACACAGTGTTCCTGCGTTAGTTAGTTATCCAATGATGGGAGGTCTGTGGATGATCTGTTAGCATGGATGGGGTGGGGAAAAAGGATTAAATGAATTCATGCGGAGATAGGAAACTGTCTTATGCCAGGTTGGACTGTTTGCTCATCCAGTCCCATAATGTCTACTCTGACTGGTAGTGCCTCTCCAGGATATCATGCAAAGGTCTTCCGCATCACCTGTTACTTAAGTCTTTTGACTGAAAATGCCGGACATTCAACTTGCAGCCTTCTATATGCAGAAAATTTTGAGAAGTAGAGACGTCACCTTGCCAACAAAGGTCCGTATAGTTAAAGCCATGGTTTTCCCAGTAGTGATGTATGGAAGTGAGAGCTGGACCATAAAGAAGGCTGATCGCCGAAGAATTGATGCTTTTGAATTATGGTGCTGGAGAAGACTCTTGAGAGTCCCATGGACTGCACTGGAAGGACAGATCGTGAAGCTGAGGCTCCAGTACTCTGGCCACTTCATGAGAAGAGAAGACTCCCTGGAGAAGACACTGATGCTGGGAAAGATGGAGGGCACAAGGAGAAGGGGGCGACAGAGGACGAGATGGTTGGATAATGTTTTCGAGGTTACCAGCATGAGTTTGACCAAACTGCGGGAGGTAGTGGAGGACAGAGGTGCCTGGCGTGCTCTGGTCCATGGGGTCACGAAGAGTCGGACACGACTAAACGACTAAACAACAACAACAATATGCAGAAGGGCTGCTTTACCACTGAACGGTGGTCCTTTCTCCTTGTCTTCTCAATGGCTAATGAGCATCATACCTGGAAGGAGCCTCATAGGCACTTACACCTCTCAAATACCAGGTGCTAGGACAAGCAACAGGGACGTGGGTGGCGCTGTGGGTTAAACCACAGAGCCTAGGACTTGCCGATCAGAAGGTCAGCAGTTCGAATCCCCGCGATTGGGTGAGCTATCGTTGCTCGGTCCCTGCTTCTGCCAACCTAGCAGTTCGAAAGCACGTCAGAGTGCAAGTAGATAAATAGGTACTGCTCCAGCGGTTTCCATGCTCTGCTCTGGTTCGCCAGAAGCGGCTTAGTCATGCTGGCCACATGACCTGGAAGCTGTACGCTGGCTCCCTCGGCCAGTAAAGCGAGATGAGCGCCACAACCCCAGAGTCGGTCACGACTGGACCTAATGGTCAGGGGTTGTGGCAAGCAACAAAGGAAGTGTCATCATGCTTTTTCTGGGCTTTCCTAAGGCACCTGGCTGGCCACTGTGGACAACAGAATGGTGGAATAGGTGG